TACATTGACTTACACTGGAAGATAATTATTAGAATATTTTGTAGTTAAATTTTACTCACATTTTAAAGATTCTTGTATTTTGCTTTCAGCTGATGTGATTGTTAACACAATAACTTATACAACAGCTTCTAGCTTCGAAGTTTTAAGCAGTGTCATTACAGTGCAAAAACATCCTAAATAACTTATAGCTATCCATGTTGTTTTATGTTTTCTAATAGATTTTTTTGTAAAAAGTTGGATGGCTATACTTATGTAATGTTTATTTGTTGCTGTATTTTTCTGTCTCCGAGTCTTCAAATTCGTCATGTTATGTGTTGTTAGTTCACTATAATTAAACCGTTAAAATGCGTGTTTTACTTTTGAAAAACATATTAAGAAATTGAAGTTCGTGATAATGTTGCATTACATGCTCTTAATATTGTGTCGTATTCTAGTAAAAAGTTTGAATGTCACAATCTATTCATACTTTCACTAATAGGCTACGATAAAACAAATTAGCGTGATTTCACGTTTATGCGGAATTGCTGATTACGAAAGTTTATTTATTGTTACGTTTTTATAACAAAAATATTAGTAACACTTGAAATCGAACTTAGTTTTATTAAATATCAAGTCACAATATAGGCTTTTCTAATATAGTAGTTTATTGAAAATAATTAATAACATAAAAAAAACAGTGGTTAATCTAAACCTTCAGTAAGTATTGAAACAGATGCTTTAAAAAACTCTTTAATGTTTTTCACATTGTATTTTCCTTCTGTGTAAAATCAAATATAATTTTGCCTCAGATCGAAATAACTTCAGAACAGAAAAACAAATATTTCTTTTAAATTTATGAAAAGTGTAATGAAACTACATTTTCTGATTTTACTTATTCATATATACACACACTGTTTATCGTAGTTGTGCCAAAACGTCCAATAAAACTCCACTGTTCGTTTTGCTGGTTTCATAGCTAGTTGAAGTGTGTGGTAAGATATGTAATAGAGAAATCAATACAGATATCCTTGTTTTTCTACGATCACAGAACAATAAAATTTAGCTAAATAAATATGGCGATGGTTTTAGACAGATCTATAATAAATGAATATCTGTAATATGATTTTTAACGTTTCGAAAATGATTTCTTTCACAAACTAATTAACAATACCATTTCCCACGTATTTGTACCTTTCTTCTTGAAAACCGTATTTCCTTATCAATGTTAGATAAATCAACGGATCTTCTCAAGTTGTCTCTGGTGGTGTGTGTTTGTTCAATTTCGTGCAAAAACTACCCCAGAGCTATATGCGCTAGCTTTTCCTAATTTAGAAGTGATAGACAAGAGGAAAAGTAACTAGTCAACACCACCCACCGCCAACTCTTGGGCTACTCTTTAACCAACGAAATGTGAGATTGACCGGAACATTATAACACACTCACGGCTGAAAGGGCGAGCACGTTCGGTACCGATTCGAAACCTGACTAGCAGATTGCGAGTCGAGCGCCTCAATAACAAGGCCATGCCAGGCCCTGATGGTGTTTTGAAGGAGTGTATTAGATGAACAACTATTATTCAGATATTCTTGGACGTCATTTTTATTCTAGTTAAATTACATTCAAATGAACATGTAAATTGCCTATTTTCATTTTAAAAAAAAGTTATCAACTGAGTTACTGAATTCAGCTTTTATACATAAACATAAATAAGCGTATAAAACAGCAATAAAAACATTCTGATAAATGTAAAATATACCAGAACAAGTGCTTTTGTGCGATGTCATAAAGAAAAAATCGTAGTGTAATAATTAATAATTGCTATTCCATTAACACAAGTTAGTAACAAACGTATGTTGTCGGTAGAAATACTGGTGCTAGCCTGAAATTTATGAAGTGCTAAGCTGGTACGAGAATTATTCAGTGGAAATATCTTTTGGCATCAATTGTGTAGAAGGTTGTATTCTTCACGCTGAACAACATCCATAAATTTAACATTAAAGTTTATAATTTTGGTATGCGCTCATTCTAGCGAGAATAAAGCAATCAAAGGCTTATAACGTATACGTGAATGACACCTTTATCGTATTTTAACTCGGTGGAAATTACTAATACATGTTTCATAGCTTGTTTGTTTGTAATTAAGCACAATGGGCTATCAGTGTTCTGCCCACCGCGGGTATCGAAACCTGGTTTCTAGCGTTATAAGCCCGCAGACATACCGCTGTGCCACTGGGGGCGTTTCATAGCAACGCTTTTTGATTAGTAACAAGTAGAGATCCAGCAACAAAATCTACCTACACTAATCGATCTATAGAACTACTCCACTTTATTTATTTATATATACAAGGTATACTTTGGTGGCAGATTTTGTTGAATAAGACCGATGTCTGTAGGTTTACTTTCTTCTTAGAAATCTTCTCAAGAAGTCGATAAGCCGTTTTAACGTTGTTAGAACAACGGACAAAAGTTGTAAATAGTGGTATTTGCCTTTTGACAAGTTTCTGCTGAAACTCCAAGGTCATCTTATCGTCTTTTGCTGTCGGGTCATGTAATCGAATATATAAGGTAGTGAAGCTACTTTCATATATAGACTTATTTGTTAATGTCACAATGTTCTCATGATATTTCACTTCAAAATACGAATAGTGAAAGCAACAGGATAAATTTATCTTATTGGATCATAATGTTAATTTGAGTCTTAAATTTTACACATTGGTATTTGAGGTGAATTAAGAACGGGGAAAAAAGGGTAATTTAATCATATAAAACATATTCCACGCCGTTTTAAAGTGTACAAGGCATTTATATTTCATTTTACTTTCCAAAAATAAAGTATCTAGTTCCAAATAACATGAAGAAAGGATATTGTATGCATGCAAATTAGGAAACACCATAACTATGTCACGGCTTACATTTAAGTAGATCAACAAATTTGGAACATCAACAACCCTCGATGGCTGAAGATTACATATTATAATTTCTGTGTCAGACTGTCAGTTATTGAAGTCGAGCTAAGTTGGTAACGTAGCCTACAACACCACTCATTCGAGACACATTTCTGCAAAACAACGTCAGAAAAGTAAAATGTGGTTTAAGCAAAATTTGAACATGACTTAACCGGTTGGAAAATCGAAATGTGCACAAAAAACTTTATTTCAGTCCACTAGTAGTCTTCTGTGACATTTCATTCATAATAACTGTCATCGCCGGAAATCTGCACAAAATACCATTTTAATTATGTTTCTTGTTTTTCATCATCAGAAATCAAGCAGCAATAATTACACCAATTAATCACTCCATTGCTATATAGGTAGCTAAAACATTGGGAGGGAAAAACACAAAACAAACTTTAAAAACAATAAAATTATCTTTCCTATAACAGAAAATGTATATATATAAAGGCAGCAACAGTTAGCATTAGTCTTTATTTAGTTATTTCTCTTAGTAAAAACAAAAGAAACATAATCAAATATTTCTTTGGGTCGTGTATATATGTATATTTTTCTTTTTCAAACTTGTTCTTGATTTTGGTTTATCAGTACTCAATTTATACGATACATTTGTTTTAGCTACTGATTTAAGTATTTACGAAATCAAGAAATATAAAACCAGAACAGACTAAGTGCACATAAACCCTATACTCTAACTATGTAGATAAAGGATCCATCATCTTATCAGTCTTTCTAAAAACTGAATTTAATTTCTGAAATAAACGGCTTCTATAGATGAAAAGTTGTTCGATAAAAGACTGATTAAATATGCTTATTTGTCAATATTACAACATTAATAAGGAACACATTAATAAAGAATAATGAATTGTTTATTTTTATGTAGAAGAAACACGATCATGGACGTCTATAAACTTGTAGTATGTATGACCTTTACTTAGCTTCAAATATCTACATGAAACATTTTTTCCTATTCTGTATTTCTCACTTTAACCCTATTTTTTCAGTCTTATTTATATTCATATTTGTTCAACTTTACCTGCATTACTAGCAATAATGGACTTAATAACTTCAGCTTTAAACCGAAAATCTGAAGCATACATATAATGCTTGATAACTAAACCAAAACTTTTAAACAACAATTTTAAGCTCTTGGTACATAAGGTGCAGTTTTGTTTTTGTTTTTGAATTTCACGCAAAGCTACATGAGGGCTATCTGAGCCAGCCGTCCCTAATTTAGCAGTGACAGACTAGAGGGAAGGCAGCTAGTCATCACCTCTCACCGCCAACTGTTGGGCTACTCTTTTACTAACGAATAGTGGGATTTAACCCTCATTGTTATAGCGTAAACATGACCCCAAAGTGTGAACCGCGTTTTTGTGTCAACGGAAAGCGAACCATAAACCCTCTGATTCACAATCCAGGCACACTGATCACTGTCACATTAAAACGCCCCCACGGCTGAAAGGGCGAGCATGTTTGGCGGGACGGGGATAGGCGCAGTTTTAACTTCCATTTTTGTACAGGCGATAAACATTTACTTACACTTTTACATAGAAGTAAAAGTTTGATTTAAATCGAAAGGCCCAAGGTTCCCGCTATGATATTGTTACGTCT